CACCACTGATCTCCCCACTTACACACAGGCTCTTCAGGTAATCCCGTCCTTTAGGACAAGAAGGAGGCAGGGCCTGGTTTAGGGATATGGTAGGGGATGTGGATTCCCCGAGTCTGGAAATATAGAGAAATGACAGTTTCTGTAGTGACAGAGACTTGCTCTCTGCTCCCACTCTTAAGTAGCTCTCAAGGTGCCAGAAGATGTGGGGAACGTGGATGGTCTGGAGAGGATGCTTCTGAGGACCAACCCTTAGCCTGTAGGGAGTAGCAAGGCCCAGCAGATGGCGCCACCATGATGACCGATGATCCGCCAATCTAACAAATGGGCACGTGAGGCCATTGAATTTTATTTGGGGAAAAAAAAGAAAAGAAAACGTGAAGTCTCATAACTAAGACTGATGAAGTTGATTCTCTCTGTTGGGAGTAATGAAAGGATACTATCCCATAGTATGGGAGAAGAGAAAACATTGAATACTGACTGGCATCGTGTCCCTCAGTAATCCTGGCTTCAACATTACCTTTTCCCTCCGGCCTGGCCTAGTCAGTTCTTGTGGGCAGTTCTCACTCTTTCTGTTCAAATTCTCAGCCTGTGTCTCCTCTTCATCCCATTCTTAGTGTACCCAAATCTCTGTCTTCTTTGCCCACAGGCAGAATCTGAAAAGTCCTTGTTCTTTATCATCAGTACAAATTAAAATTTGTATCTGTCTCCTTTACTAGCATTCCAGACTACTTCTGGGGACCATCTTGCATACATTAAAGGGTTCATGAAGGGCCCTCTCTCATTAAAAGTGACTTTACCCAAGAAATAATTTATCCCTGAATGAAATAATTCATCCCCTACAATGAAAATTGCTGTAAATTTTTGGGAGGGATAGTTTACAGAGTGTAAAGAAAACTGTTGGAGAAATAGACCGTATTTCTGCACGGAGACACTCTATATTGTAAGAATGTCAGTTCTTCCTAAATTGATGTCTACACCAAAATAAGTTTCAGATGAATCAAATGTTAAACATTTTTTAAAATGCATAAAAAACTAAATTATAATTATTCTGGATAGCTATGCAAACTCTGAGACGAAGACACTCTAATATTTTTTAAAAATGGGAAAAATTTGACTATCGAAAGTTAACGTCATTGTATTTAAGAAAAATCAAAGTGGTTAAAAATTTTGTAGCAATTATAACATAGGCTTACATCTTATTTTAATGAATAGTTCATATAAATGAAAACAAAGCGGAAAGTCTGGAATGTATAAGACAAAACTTTAGACAATTAACTAAAGAAGAAATACACTAGTTAATAATTACAGAGAAAGTGTTCAAACTCTAGTAATCAAATGAATTTAGATTTTTTAAAAAAGACCATTTCTAACTTCCAAACTAGCAAAAAAAATTTTTTTAAAGTATAACAACATACTGGTGAGTGAAATATCACTGCTACACATCAAGGAGTTATATAACTTGCGACAATTATTCATAAAAGTCCTTAAAACAGTTCACACATTTCAGCTTAATGACTCTATGTAGGAGGAACTTATGCCGAGGAAATAATCTTAAAATTTTCGTACAAATTTATTAATTCTAGCATTAATTATAAGATCAAAACATTCCAAAAAATCCTCATATCCAATAGTTGGGTAAACTAACTTGTGGATATCATGTAATTCCTTTCAAATGACATTTAAAGTAATTCTGTAACACCATGGAAATGTTTATGGTAGTAAACAAAAGGCAATGTTGGTCAATAACAATGTCAAAATTTGTCTAAGCTAACTGTTACTTAGGGAAACAAACATTCAAATACAGTGACCTATCACTACACACCCACCAGATTGGCTAAAATTAAATAGAGCAAAAATACCAGCCATAGATGAGCATGTGGCCCAACAAGAACCCTCACGCATGGCTTATGGAAGTGTAAACTGGACCTGTTTGACACTCTCTAGTAAAGGTGAAAGGATGCATACCCAATAAACCAGTCATTCCATTCATAGACATAGAACCCAGAAACGCCTGCACGTGAGCACCAGGGTACAGGAATGTACAAGAATGCTCAGCACAGCAATGTTTGGACTAGCCTGAAACTAGAAATGTCCATCACCAGTAGGATGGATAGATTGTGGATTACTGGTGCAGTGAGACAGAACACAATCAAATGAACAAATGACAACTTCAGCATCACAACATAGATTATTTTCACAAACATAATGTTGAATGAAAGAAGCAAGTCATAGAAGAATATGTGTTTATTATTTCACTTATATAAAGTTCAAAAATAAGTGAAACAAAATCTCTTGCTTAAGGTTACATACAGAGGTGGTAAAACTATAAGAAATGCATAACAGTCAGGAGAATAATACCTCGGGCAGGTTGGAGGAGTTGCGCTGGGGAAGGAGAGCAGGAAAGTGGAGGCCTTCTCTGGCTGTTGGAGGTGTTTGATTTCTTGACCTGGGATATGATCGAAGAAGGAGGCAGACACTGGAGTGATACATCTATAAGCCAAGGAACCCCAAGGATTGTCAGCCATCACCAGAAGCCGGGAGAGAGCCATGAGACAGATTCTCCTTGAAAGCCCTTAGAGGAAGCCAACCCTGCTGACACCGTAATTTCAGACTTCCAGTCTCCAGAACTGTGAACACATTCCTGTTGTCTTAAGCAACCTAGTTTGTGGTACTCTGTTACGGCAGTGCTAGGAAGCTAACACATGGGTATTTTCACACTAAGAACACGTATTAAGGGGAGCCTCGTGGCCCAGTCGGTTAAGTGTCTGCCTTCGGCTCAGATCATGACCTCAGCGTCCTGGGATCAAGTCCCGAGTCCGCTCCCTGCTCAGCGGGGAGTCTGGCGTCTTGCTTCTCCCTCTCCTTTTGCCCCTCCCCACACTTGTGCTTGCTTTCTCTCTCTCGCTCGCTCACTTTCTCTCAAATAAATAAATAAAACCTTTTTTTAAAAAAAGAGTATTTGTTAGAAGTTTCCAAGAATTTATAGTTGAGGTCTCTAATTTCTTGAATAAATCACAAAATCTAAAATAAAAAAGTACTCAAATCGTCCCACTTTATATATTCTCTGGAAAAGTTATGCTCAAAGACCCAATTCAAATATAAAAAATAAAGATCTCCTATTCAGAAAAGAAATCTATGCGGCACATCTAGTTGTACCAACGGGTCAAGGATCAATAGTAAAAGTCCAAGTACATTAAACAATAAAGGATGTGGCTTGTTCCAAGTTGGCCTGTAAAATTTTCATCCTGACTCTTTGATTCCTTTCCTTACTGGAAATTCTCCAGTGTCTGAAGTGACCCTGCATCTGGCCTCCTGGAAGCCATTCTTACTCATTCCATTTCCCTCCAGAGCCAAGCAGGGCTGACCTGGAAAGAGATCTGACACAGAACTTCTCCAGGGTGGAACACTGATGCACACGGACGGCTCTGTGGGAGACCATCTTTGGTTACAAGTCTGCTCTCTGCAAGTTGAGAGAACAGACAGCCTCCGAGTTTATAGCGCCAAGTGCTCTCAGAAACCTCACTGGGGGGTTGATTTTGTATAGGATGCTGAGCACGTGTGTGGGAGTATTGCCCTTCCTAAGTAGGTTCTGCCTGATCGCAGGATGCCATAAACAAAGGCATAAAGGGGCAATATATGGAAAACAAATTTTTTTAAAAATTCACAAAATGCAAGGTGATTTCTCTACTCCTTTCAAGTTTTCAACTACCCAAAGAGAGCAAAGTACAGGAAAGATTTCTTCTAGAAAAATCATGAGGTAGGATAGTACAGTGGTAAGAGATTTTGAAGCCAGGCTGTCTGCTCTCAGACCTTTGTTCCATCGCATCATTGCTTGATGTCTTTATTAGCTTCTCCAAGTACAAATTTCTTCATCTGTAAAATTAGGATAAAAATTGCACCTATTGCAAAGGGTTGCTAGGAAGATTCAATGAGGCAACATATGAAAAGCATTTAGCTCAGAATGTTACAAATGGTAAGTGCTTAAGAAATATTGGTTGCTGAAATAATAATCATTATAGTAAAAAAATCTTTCCAGATTTAAACTTGAAGTAGTTATAAAAATTTCCAGTAGAACTGATTATAGAGTAGGCCCCCTGGGGGTCAATGCGTTCACCCCATTAAATTAGGCGGAGAAGGAAAATTTCAGCTTCTTAAGTTGACCGTTCTAGTACTTAACATGCTCTATCAGAAAAATAAAATTCACTTCAGTTTCCTGGTGTGTTAGATAAGTGAGTCTGGTTAAGTAATTTCTGCGGAGCTTTCCAAACAGTACAAATTTGTATTTCTAACAACCATTATCAGCCATAAATCAAATATGTCTCTAAGTCACTTTCTTTCAGTATTTCAAGGCTTCTACCCCTTTCCAAGCAAAATAAGACCTTTAGGCTAGCTTGGTGGTCACAGTGTTTGTGTCCTTAGTTCTTCCCCAGTTGTACTCCAAAGGAGCCTTAGACTTGGGTGGTTCTAGTATTAGCTGTTGGCAGTCAGAGCTGGGCAATTTCCATAATACTAAAGTTTGCTTGGACCAAACTTTCAGGTTTCCCAGCTTTGAAAGAGAAGAAAAACATGATTTTGTGAAACAGTCAAAGAAACTGATGATATATAAAGCCACCTGTGTGAGCTCCAAAGGTTGCAGTATAACCTTTATTTTCAATGATATTTGCTATTTTATCGATAAAAGCTAGTAAGTTACAGGAATCGCTTTGTATTTTCCAATTCACCTGGGGAACTGAAACTCAATGGAGTGCTCTGGCTTTCCCGCGGAAATCCTTGGTTCTCCCCCCACCCTTACCCAACCCCAGTACATTTGCTGGTTGTCCAGGAGGCAGCCCTGTTGTTTCAAATGCCTGGCTTCCCTGGGGACCAACAAAGGACCCTGGAAAGAATGGCTTATGTAAGGCAGTCAGAGGTTGAAAGGGAAGCAGAGGGAAAAGTCTTGACCCTCAGGAATAATGGCAAAATATGTTGACGTAATTGTCTTCCTCAATCGCCCTTTCTAGGGGCCAACGTGAACATGAAAACCAACAATCAGGATGAGGAGACGCCCTTGCACACGGCTGCCCACTTCGGCCTCTCAGAGCTGGTGGCCTTCTACGTGGAGCATGGGGCCATAGTGGACAGTGTGAACGCCCACATGGAGACCCCGTTGGCTATCGCCACCTACTGGGCCCTCCGCTTTAAAGAGCAGGAGTACAGCAGGGAGCACCACCTGATCTGCCGCATGCTGCTGGACTACAAGGCCGAGGTCAACGCCAGGGATGACGACTTCAAATCCCCGCTGCACAAGGCAGCCTGGAACTGTGACCACGTGCTCATGCACATGATGCTGGAGGCAGGGGCCGAAGCCAATCTCATGGATATCAATGGCTGTGCTGCCATCCAGTACGTGCTGAAGGTCACCTCTGTGCGCCCGGCGGCCCAGCCTGAGATCTGCTACCAGCTCCTGTTGAACCATGGGGCTGCCCGGATATACCCTCCACAGTTCCACAAGGTGAGGCTATGTGCAAAATGCCCAGTGCAGACCCCGGTAGTCAGCAGGGGCTGACTCCAGAGGCTCCAAGGATGACTGGGTCTCTCCACTCTGGTGGTAACTCAAGCTTATTTGAGGCTTGAGTCTCCGGCTAACTCCCTTTGATTCTCCAACTGACCTCACATTGACATACACGACCCTGGCGACTCGGTCCTTGTCCAGGCTGGTTTGAAGTCTGGGGCTGAGAGCTAAGAATGAGAACAAGAGTGGCAGATGATTCTCCATGCCTCATGTGAGCACCAGTGAACAGCTAGCAGCTTCTGCCCGACTGAGTTAAGAAAGATCAGAAAGCTACTTTAAGTCTCCTACAGAGACCAGTGGCGTCAGACAGGAAAATACTTGCCATCTTTTGAGCAGAATGTATTTTAAATTACGTACAGAATGTATTTTAAATTACGTATGGAATTGTTCTTGCTTTAAATTTTTATCTCTGCACTGTCACTTATAACTCGTTCAGTCTAGACTTAGCCAAACTATTCATGCCAGGAATAAAGAAGCCTGGACTTCGGGATCAAACAAACTTGGGTCTTGCCACTTCCCTAAGAATTTTACTTTGAATACATTACTTAAGTCTCCCAAGCCTCAGAGTCTTCCACTGTGAAATGGGTACACTCTGCCTTTATGCTTTTGCAATAATAAGCAGATGTGATCCTACATTAGAAGGAAATTAATCTTACTAGTAGCACACAGATATACTCAGAGCCCAGAGGACGGTGCAAACCTTTCTTTACTGTTCCTCTTGAGTCGCTGTCTGTCCTTGCAGAGTGCCTGCCCCAGCTCCATCCCACATCTGCAAGTACCTCTCCCTTGGTCTCTGTTCATCTTCTTGCTCCACCTACATCTCATTAGTTGGGCCATCTTCATAGTGCAACTTCTAGAAGACAGACAATTGATCGCTTTCTACTGTGGCTCACTCCACAAAGCATAATTTCGTGTGTATTTATTTTCTAAGGCCATCTTCTTTCCAGGGAAAAGGGTGGAGAGGGAGGAAGGGCATGGAGGTTCCAGTGAAATGTACCTACCTCACTTTATCCGTGAGTAATAATCGTTTTCTCATAAGTTTGCTTTAAGAATGAAACAAGATAACATTTGAGAAGTGGTGGCACTGTGCCTGGTGCGTGGCAACCATTAGAGAAATGGTGGCTTTCATTCTTGCTATTATTACATATTTGTTGATCAGTGGAATCAGTGCCCTGGGCCTGGGTTAGCCACAAGGGCCTCTCCAACCAGGAGAGACAATGTGGGAGACTGCCCAGAGCCGAAATGTCGTGTTTTACCTGAAACTCACTGCTGGTTGACTGTGGATGAAACAGGTCTCTGCGAAAGTAGCCAGAATACCCTTTCCTCATTTTTCCCCTTTGAGAGCCAGATTGAGGAAAATGGGCTTTCACAGGGAGTTTCCGCTCTCCAGTGAGAAGTCTTGCAAATGTGAAGAAGGTCCCCAGGTCCTTTTTCCCAAAAGCAGTCCTTTGAGAGGTGACAGTGAGGAGGCTTAGGAGCAGAGGCTTAGCTGCTATTTATGTGCATTATGATTTCTGAACAAGTCCCTGATTTCTCAGGTCTCAATTTCCTCATCTAAAAAAATGAAGGTAAAAATATCAGCTTTTCCAAAATGTTTCAGGAATAAGTGGGTAAGATATGTCCATCACCCAGCCCAGTAGTGGCACTCAACAAAATTGTTTCCTTTCATCTTCCTTCTCTCAAAATGTACACCTCATCCATTGCAGGAGTCCGTCCTCCCAGCTGTACTTTGGTGGCTCCGCAAGCCTGTAACATCAGTGTCTGATTGTGTGCTCCAAGGACATTATCCAGAGTTAGCATGTTCTTATTCCATTGTGTTTTGCTCCTCTGAGCTCCTCCAGTTTGGCCATATGCTAAAGAGATTTAGGACGGGATTGGCTACTGGTTGATGGCTGGTATTATAAACATTTTTGTTGCTACCCAACAGTGTGAGGGAACTGGCCCCCTTCCAAAGGAAAACTAAAGAAAAACTATTCCATTTACTATGCAGATGCTTCAAAGTGATTTAGCACAACTACTCCACAGCCCGACTTTCCAAAGAGAAAGTAATCTTTATGACAAGTAAATGACTGACTCATTTATCCAGAAGATAAAGTGATTTGTTCTCTTGTGGATGGGGAATTCAGTTTCCTTATTTACAAGGAACAAGGTCAGAGCTGAAGATGCTGTCTTCCAAATACAAAGCAAATTTGTAGAGGGTGTATTTCACTGAAAGCCAATGTATAAATTACATAAGGGAAAAAAAAGAATTATAGGGTCTGCAATTGCTTTCCAGGGTACAAAAGGACATTTGATTTTTTTTTCTCTCGGCATAATTCAGAAGGAAGTGACACCCCAGGGAGCCAAGATTGGGTTTTCTTGTAGGGCAAGAAAGACATTTTTCTAGGGGAGGGAAAGGTATGTGAGGGTTCGGGGGAGGTAAGGATGATTTCTGCTGTTGAACAATGCTGCAAATGAAGCCCAGAATACAAGCAGTCTCTCTGATCATTAAGTACTTTTCTGCACACAGATATATCAATATAAAAAGAATTTTTTGGCCAAAGTGGCTCACAGAGGTGGCATTGTTTTGGAAGGGTGGCAGGGAGATTTATTTTGAATCTCTTTTTTAATTTATGCTTCCAGGGGCCAGATGATGAGAGCAAGTGTCTAGAGGTCTCTCCAGGTGCCACCACTGTAGAAAGAAATTTTTGTCCGACTGTTCTTCCCTGACGAGAGAATAGAGACACCAGAGACTCACAGAAAGTGAAGGTCTATTCCCAGGTGGACAAAGAAGAAGCAGAAGCTTCTCCCCCTGAGTCCACAACAGTCCTTTCTCTTTTGATGGTCAAGGTTCCTGGTAGTCAGGGTAGAGTGATGATATGGCGTTTGATGTCTCTTAAGGACCTCTTTTGTTGTTGTTGCCCAGTAGAATAATTATTGAGGCCTGAAGACAGTGTGTCCAACTGTCTTAGTTCTGGAAGAAGCCTGACATGCCAGTGAAGAGAGCTGGGAGGCTGTTCAGGCTCCTAACGAAGACTTTTCGTGCTACGAGAACCATCTTCTGTGAGCCGAAAACATAGTGTTCAGTGTCAGCAAAACCTAATGACAGCAGTGGGAGCTTTGGACTTTGTGCATCGAAAGACTGCAGGTTAAGAACTACTTAATTTTTTTTTTTTTTGGCCGAATGAAAGGTAACAAGTTACCTCCCTGTGATATGTGGGAGTATGCCAGGTGCAAATTGAGGCACCAGATGTGTGAAGGAGGCTCCTGAAATATGAATGGATGATGTTCCTGTACACGTGACTTAGTTTGAACTGTTTCTGAATGGGGGCTGAGAATAATGTTGCCGAATAAAATACAGGATGCTCAGTTAAATCTGAAGTCTAGATATATAATAAGTACTTTTTCATATAAATATGTCCCATGCAATATTTGGGACATGGGGCACGCCTGGGTGGCTCAGTCGTTAAGCATCTGCCTTTGGCTCAGGTCATGATCCCAGGGTCCTGGGATGGAACCCCGCATCAGGCTCTCTGCTCCTCGAGGAGTCTGCTTCTCCCTCTCCTTCTACTGCTGCCCCTGCTTGTGCTCTCTCACTCTCTCTGCCAAATAAATAAATAAAATCTTAAAAAACAATATTTGGGACATGGTTACACTAAAAATTCTATGTTGTTTATCTGAAACTCAAAATCTGGCAGTCAATATTATTATTATTATTATTATTATTATTATTATTATTATTATTATTATTTAAATCTGGGAACCCTAGTCGGGAAGTCGGTAATGTGTTGCAAGAGGAGAGTAAATTTTATCTACATTTCTTCTGTGATCAAGATGTTGGCAGGAAGGGGAAAGTAGGGAATATCTGGGGACAAATTACCTGTGTTGGGTAAGTGAGCATCTTGTCTTTAAATATAACGAGTGTGGCTTCCGTGAAGAGTGAGTGTGACCGGGGAATTAGTGTAGAGCAGAGGCCAGTGTTCTGAGTGACCCTTAAACCATGTGCAGAGCCTCATTACACGCTCTCTGGTTTCTCCACATACTTTTTGGGTTTATAACTCCATTATAAGCACACTTTTGATTCCAGCCTTGGATTAATTTCAGCTCTCATCTCCCTACTACTGACTCGTAAATGTAAATCTCTATTTTGGATCATCAACTGATTACCCATGTACTTCTCACCACAGATCATCCTTTCAGAAAGGATTTATCTGAAGGTCTTTAGAGAAGGATGTGGCGTTCCCGATGGTGGCTATGTTTATATTACCAGCAATGGCTTTACATTCGAAAGAGAATTCTTTCTAAATTTCAACAAAACTCAGCCTCAAAGTTATTTATTGGGTCTCTAAAACTCTGTATGCTATGACGCCAAGGTCTTAAAGATGAGGATGGGTCAGCCTTAGTTACAACTGTGCATCCGTCCTCTCTCTCGCATAGTCTGAGCCCTCCCTGTTTGAATCCACCCAACTCCCCGTAAGCTGGCCTTCTAATCAGATCTGGTGGTTTCTAATCTGTCTTTCTCTCCCTAATCTTCACAGCTCTGGTGACAACCCGGCTTCCAATGCTCACCTCACTTGATGTCTTTCACTCTGATAGGCCTGATTTCCTTTTGACTTTTGGAGTCATACGGACCTGAATTTGAATCCCAGCTCTGTCTTTTACTAGCTAAATAACCTTAGGTATAAATTTTCTCCATCTTGGATTTTAAATCTGTAAAATGGGTATAACTATAGGACTAACCTCATAGGGTTGTTTGAAGACTGAGCAAGGCAAATATGCCAAGATTTAACATAGTCCCTGGCACATAATAAGTACTCAAAAGATGGTAGCTATAACTTTTTTCCTTCTCCCTCTCTCCTGACTGTTAGGATTCCCCAGGCTTTAGACCATGGTCCTCTACCATTTCCATTTATTCCCATTTAGAGTCTTATTGAGCTGTGTGGCATTAGCCAGCACATTCTTTAATGGCGCACAAGTCTCCACCTCCATCTTGGTCTTCTTAGCGGAGTGTTAGCGCGCACATTTTTGACTCACATTAAGACACTGCCTATGACATATCCTTCTGCCCATGATCTGACCATCCCCAAATTAGTATGCCCTTCCCATTTCCTCATTTCCGTCAGTGGCACCCCACTATGTCCTTGTTCTCAGGCTTGAAAGTTGCATTCTTTACTCCCCATAGCTGATTAGTCATTAAGCCCCTGCTTGCTCTTTCTCAGAGCTTCGGTTACCCTTCATCTCACGACTGACACTGGAGCTAGATGAGAAGCCGTTTGGTGCACCCCCATTCGGCCTCCTCACTGCTCTCTGCCCTTGATATCCTTGTTTCCTCCTTTGTGCTTTTGTTCATGACGCTCAAGGGACACTTGATGATCTTTAAGCCAGTCTCTTATTATGTACTGACTTACACTGCTCGCTCTTTGAAATGTGTATGTCTTTTCTCTTCAACTAGGTTGTAAACTCCTTGAAGACAAAAAACAGGTCATAAACTTCTCGGAATTACTGTCATAGGGCTAAACACAGTGCTCAATAAAGGCCTTCTAATGGAATGAATTGATTGAATATAACCCTCTCTTGTTAAGAAAATGTAATAGCGTCCTCTTGCCTGTTAAGCCAGTCACAAGCTCTTCAGACTGGCCTTGCAGGTGGACCGTCAGCTGACTCCATCCTAACATGCTCTTCACATCAGCTCTTTCCTGACATGGGCCTTCCATTCGGGTGACACCGCATGCACACGCACAGATGCGCGCATGCACACACACACACACACACACACACACACACACTGAACTGGGCATTAAAATGATAATCTTTCTGTCTCAGTTTTGCCCGGGGCCTCAAGACAATAGGTTCTTAACAGCCTACATTGAAAAATACGGTGCTGGATCACTTGTGACGAACTTGTAAAGGAGGTGGGGAAGACCGGCATTGTGACCCTTTTCCCAACAACAATAGGCTGAGGTTGGCAAGGACTGGGAAGTCAGGAAGAACTCTCCAGAGAAAGTTGTTTCAGTGCAAAGGCATGCCTCCCTTCCAATGGCAGCAATGGGGGGCTTTCTCCTCATCTCATATCCAATGAAGGGCTTTCTCAAGTTCCAAGGGAAAAATGGAACCGATGTGTAACTCCTGATGAGAAAACGTAAAGGTGAAAGTCTGTGGCTGGGGTTGCTTGTCTGTTGGCAAAGGAAAGAAAGGCAGGTAAATTCGGAGTCAAGAGTACTTTTGCTGCAGGTTCCCTGTGGACCAGTTGCCAAACCAGCTGGGTCCCTTTGAAATGAAAGCAGACCACACTCAAAGGACTTCCGGAGATGGGTCAGTCTGGCAGAAAGAAGCTGGAGGTGTTCCGGTGGGGAGGGGTGAGGGTTGTAAGGGCAGGATGTGCCTTTCATCAGACTCCCACCTTCTTTGTTAGCTCCTCTTTCTCACTTGCTCCTGAAAGTTGAAGGAAGTTAGTGTGATTTTATTAATCCTCCCATCTACGTTGGGACTAGCAGTGTGTTTGAAAACTCAAAGGCACGAAGCTTCACAAAAGCATTTCAGGGCTCCAAGGAGCCCAAGGAGTCCATAAGTTCTCAATGTCTCCGTGCGTATGAATGAATCATAGATGTGCGTTGAACAATTAAAGCTGTATGCTTCCTCTACAGGTGATACAGGCTTGCCATTCTTGTCCCAAAGCAATCGAAGTTGTAGTCAATGCCTATGAACACATCAGGTGGAACGTAAAGTGGAAAAGAGCTATCCCTGACGATGACCTGGAGGTAAAGAATCCATTCACTGTAAAATAGTTCAAGACTGCAATAGAGTACAGAAAATTCTAATTAAAAAACTGGTCTTGAGAATGCTTTTAAGAGATACTCAAATGCAGTAAGACAAATGGTTATAAAACGTGGATAGAAGAGGGGCACCTGGGTGGCCCAGTCGGTTAAGTGTCTGCCTTCGGCTCGGGTCATAATCCTGGGTCCTGGGATCGAGCCCCGCATCGGGCCCCCTGCTCAGCACGGACCCTGCTTCTCCCTCTCCCACTGTGTGCTCCACCACTCTCTCTCTTCCTCTTTCTCTCTCAAATAAATAAAATCTTTAAAAAGAATGCAGATGTGAGAATAAATAGATACATCATGTATGTAGCATTTATGAATGTCTTCAGGATTTCTCCATTTAAGGACAAGTTGAACATTTGTATATAGGTGACAGTTTTACTTTCTCCTCAATAATTTAGATAATTTAATAATAATAATAATAGTAATGTTTGAGATTGCTTATGCAATATTTTTACCAGAAGATTAGTTTTTCATGTAGATTATTTCATTTGCTTTTTTGAAAAGATATATTTATTTATTTTAGAGAGACAGAGAGAGGGGAGGAGGATTAGAGGGAGGGGCAGAGGGAGAGGGACTCTCAAGCAGATGCCACACTGAGTGCTGAGCCCCACGTGGGACCCAGTCTCACGACCCTGAGATCATGACCTGAGCCGAAACCAAGAGGCAGACACTTAACCAACTGTGCCACCCAGGTGCCCCTATTTCGTTCACTTTTAGTTATCTTGAAGACTTTAGGTATATTAAAAATCCTTAATGAGTCATGCAGAAAGCCATTGACAAAGCTGAGTTTTCACTCTGCAAATGGACTTCGCTGCCTTGGTAAACCAGTCCTCCCACCAAGCCTCCCCCATTCTTGGTTTTAGCCGTCACAGGCTGTCTCCAGCATGTGGAGAGGAGCCAGGCACAGAGTGCAAAGCTCATCGGGCTCAGAGCCTGATGACTTAGGTTCAACCGTACTCTGCTACTTTTGAACTATCTTACCCTTAAAAAGTTATTTATAATCTGCGTTAGCATCATTAATAGAAAAAATATCTGAATGTATGGGCCACATAAGGCACATAAAGGGTATACAGTAGTATTTAGATTAATTTCAAATTGCTGTTTTGATATACGCTGGTCCAGGCAGTTCGCAGGAGTATATTTTATCTCATTTCCTGGGCTCTGAATTGCAGCACGGTATACCCCCTTGTCTCCCTTTTCTCCTCACATATCACTGCCTCAGCCCCCATCTCAATTTTCGTGTTTAATTTTATCTCACTGTCAGAGACCCTAGAAAGCTGCCATTGTGTAAAAAGTAGGGACTAAGTGCGTCGTTGTTGATTTCTACTGATATAAACCCCAGGGCTTTTCTCCCTCTAACCTGTCATGTCTTCCTTTACAGAGATACTGGGATTTTTACCACTCTCTCTTCACTGTGTGCAGTAACTCTCCAAGGACTCTCATGCATTTATCGAGATGTGCCATTCGAAGAACGTTGCACAACAGATGTCACCGAGCAATTCCTTTGCTTTCCCTCCCATTGTCATTGAAAAAGTACTTGCTTTTGGAGCCAGAGGGAATCATTTATTAAGCCTTATGAGACAGAAGTTCCCAATCCTAGATATTTAAGTGGACTCACCGGGTAGACACAGTTTGCATAAATAAAATGGTACTTGGGTTGATTATAACACTTCAGGGATTTCATAACACTTGACAAACTCTATGTCGTTAATCCTAGGGTATCACAGTGAGGGGAAATAAACAAGAAGTAAAGGTAAGGAATTCTCAAAGACAAGAATGTATCCAGAAGGTACTGACAGCAGTAATGACTAATGTGTATAGTGTTTTTCCTTGGTGCCTGATATATTTTTGTAGAACTTTTCATATATCATCTCATTTGAAGTGGGACCCAGTTTTTCTTACAACCAATCTCATTCTCTCCCTTCTCAGTAATAGGTTTAGGTTTACGTTACTGTTCAGTTGGCGAAATCATAGGCTTTGTGATTGGCCTCTTAATCTCCGTGGCTTCCCCCAAACTCCCCTCCCACCACCGTTACCACTTAGCAGAGATTATGGTCACTAGTTTTGCAAACCTCTGTCCCCACTCTAAGCTCTTTAACTTATTTTTGGTGAAGAGAGCATACGAGCCTCATCAAAACAAGGAGATCTTTGAGTTAAAGGAGCAATGAAAAACAAAGACCAGTCTACTTAGTAGCCAAACAAATGGACATTTCAACATACGCTCATTGAGCCATAGACTGGAGATGCAACGAGGAGTCTACAGCGAGGACTCCTGCCCTCCAGAATCTCACCGTTTAGCAGAGGATCCGGACATACAAGCAGGAAACTGCAATGTCAGATGTCAGGGGTAACAATACAGGATGCAGACTCATTTTCGGTGCTTCTGTTTCGAAGTCATGTTTCCGACCTCAAGTGTGATTTTCCTTTTAAGCATGAATATGAAAGAGTGAAGGGAGTTGCATGACATAGAGGGAGGCCCCACGGCTGTTAGTGTAAATGTATTCACTTTCAGTTTCTCTGAACATCTAGAAACCCTTTGATTTTACTATGATTTCCTGTTTAGTAAAAATATTGGGAAAAATATTGCACACTCAATGGCTCCCATGTATGTGACAAGAAAGTTGAGTAAGATGTGTACAGGGAAGTGTGTGAAGGGAAGCCCTTCAGTTGATGACTTGGTCTCATTGTGTAATAGACTGACATTTCAGAGCATTTTAGCTGGAAGATAAGGAGCACTTTGCGAGTGATGGCTGGCTACTGAAAGAGCAAATAGAAAGACTTTTTGAAAATGGTTAAAGTTGAAGAAACTTGGAAAGGTAAGTGTGTCAATCAGGCTTGTTAGTTAGTGGCTTGCAGAAAGTGAAATCTAGATGATTAACCTCTGGACCTCAGGGTTTATGAGGCCAACTTCGCTTCGCCTTTTTGTTCTTGCTAATCACTTTTAGGTAAGCTCATTGCCTCTTAGCGTCGCTTTTTTAGAAGTTAGAGCAGAAGTAATTAAGTACAAACCAATCCATTTGTCAGTTGTGAGCAGGCTTCTTTTATTTGTGTGGTTCTTCATCTTTTTTTTCCCTTTTTCTTTTGAGAGAGAGTGTGAGAGAGAGCACAGAGGGAGAGGGAGAAGCAGGCTCCCTGCTGAGCAGAGAGCCCCAATGCAGGGCTCCATCCCAGGACCCTGAGATCATGACCTGAGCCGAAGGCAGACGCTTAACGACTGAGCCACCCAGGTGCCCCATGGTTCTTCATCTTATTTAACCTTAGTTCCTTGAGTTTTGAGTAGAGATGATGTCAAATATTCCACCAGCCCACCACCTCGACTGTGCTTCTAAACTGGGATTCTTATACGTCCTGTGCCCTGTAGGAAAAAGCATGGCTAGAAACAATAATGTTTCTGATTTTCCTCAGTCTTACTCAGATATTTTGAGTGAACTAATTTGTACTAAAACAAGATCTAAATTGTGGAATAGGATGCTGAATTTGTATAAACTATTCATATAAAAACGTTGATCCTTCAAAAAATTGTTTGCGGCAAGTGGTGTTGGAACACATCCTAGAATGCTGGGCAAGGGCGCATGTTGCCCTCACCTTTAGGAATATTCTGGCCGAAAAATTTGTGATGCACTGTCTTTGTCAATAAAACGCTGAAGACAAAGGGAGAGGGTGTTCCTTGCATTAGGAAATGTTTCTCAATCTGCTTGCTTGTGCTTAGACATTTTATTAGTACATAATACATGCCTACTTGTTTTGAATTGTTTACTCATACATTTAAAGTCATTTCTCTTTATCTTTGAACTTTTATTTAAAGGACTTAAATAAAGCTCTTGTTTCCTTTTGTCTTTGGGAGATGTTTATCTACCGATAAGACTTTTTTCCAACTGGCTACAGCTAGAGATCTCTGAAGAGCCCTACATGTTTCATTGCTGTCTTCAACATTGAGAAAGAAAAAGAGAATGAAGAAATGTGCCGGTAAATGAATAATATTTTCAAAAGAAAGTAAAGAGTAAACACAAATTAAAGGCAGGCCGTTACTGTAGGAACAAGAGTGTTTGTTTTTTTTTTAAGATATATTAATTTGTTTTAGAGAGAGCAAGCAGGCACATGTGAGCAGGGGAGGGAGAGGGAGAGAAGCAGACTCCCTGCTAACCGTGGAGTCCAGCTGTGGGGCTTGAACTCACCACCCTGAGATCATGACCTGAGCTGAAATCAAGAGTCAGATGCTCAACCAACTGAGCCACCCAGGTGCCCCGGAAAAGAGTGTTTTAATAATAATAAAGAAATGCTACCACCGTCATCATTGTCTCCTGCCTGTCTCCATCTCTGCCCTCCTGGTCCTTTCATGCCCTTCCTTCTCCCCATTCACACAACCCCGGGCAAGAGCAACAGAGGAAATGATGTCTTCATGCTGCTTTTGTAACTTTCTGTAAATAGTCATTTAGTGGCCTGAGAAAACAAACCTCTTCTCTTTTGTGTTACATGTGAGGAAAGATCTTTAACAGGAGGGAAGACCACCTATCCAGCTTTCTCCCCGTCTTAGGATCTAGATGCACTTGTGTTCTATTTCTTAATCACTTACTGTTACATTGCCACTTTGTCCTTCCATTCTGAACTCAGTGGCTTCTAATAAAAAACACAGCTGTTGAAAACTGATTGTACAGATAACCATTTGTAGTGGGTTATCAATGTTGGAAAGAACAGCTGAGCCTTATGTTTTTGTTACTCATTGGATGTTTGTGAGGAACTCAAAACTTTAAGAAAAGCAGTCCAAATTATTCACTCATATTCTTTGAAACACAGACACCATGGCTGGTGTCTGGAAGAAATTCATTGTCACTCTCCTAAGAGTATAAACAGATGCATTACAGTTAGATGTTAAGAGTTTTGGCTCTGGTACCCGTCTACCTGTGTTCAGTTTCTGACTTCCAACCTTATCTGATCCATTATCTAGGGAAAATGATGCACTTGGTCCCTGACTCAGTTTCCTTATTTATAAAATGGGAATAATAATGGTATCTATATCATAAAAATTCTACATGATTGTCTTGAGGCGTAGAGGAGGAAAAAGTTTTCCTTGACTCTCTTAGGATCTCAGGTTGGGTCTGAAAATTAAACTGACAAAGATCATAAAAGAAAGGCATACAAGGTTCTACATGATACAGAACCTTCATAAGGAAATAAGGATCTGAAAAAACAGAACTGAGTATTTTTATGTTAAGTTTGATTAAGAGTGGGCAGTTGTGTAGAAAATATGATGGATCCTTAAGGAGTATGAGGGGAAACTTAGTAAGTCCTGTTTGTTAGTATTCTTCTCCAGGGTTCCTTTGTCTTAAGAGATAAAGATGTTCCTTTCCTCCAGGTACAGGGAGGGCACCTCCCACAGGAGGGTTTTACGACCTGTTTCAGGGGAGAAGATGTGGGAAAATCAGAGTTACCTTCTTGCTTCTGCTGTTTTCTCAAACTCCTTCATCTTCAAGTATTCAACATGCCAAGAAACCATACTTTGGGGCAGCATGTCCTAAAACCCCATCAGAGGGTTAAATTGCTTTCACATTAAATCACATAGAACAGTAAGCATTTTCTCAGGATCATTGTCCTTGTTACTTTCATAATTATTATCATTTAGGGAGAGGTTTCTACCAGTAGGGTGATGTATTCTTAGAGTGAAGCTACAGCCAAAAGGGGATACATGGTAGATTTTTGCTCACATTGGCAAATGCTTATGGATCTCCTACTATGCACTAGGCACTTTGCTCGGGGCTGCAATCAATGAGGGAAACAAGACAAACCAGGTCCCTGACTTTCTTGGGCTTTTCGAGGTAGGAGATGAAGGTTGAAATCACATGGATTTGGATGATTAGCAAACAAGCGAATTAATTACTTTAGGAAAATTTTCCCTTTTGCAAATGGGTTTATCAAGGATGCAATGACTATGATAGTTCACCAATTAGACAACCTTGATGGAAGCAGAAGGTGAACGTTTGTTGTAGAGAGTAAAAGATGTGGTTGGCAGGGCTGGGAGGATCAAATTATGAAGTATCCTGAACCATGGGGAGGCACCCTGGGGAACCAATGGAGTATTAATATCATAATTGTTCTTCTTCCAACCTTATAACTTCTATGGTAGTAATAATTATGATACAACTGTGTAACATTTATATGGTATTTTATAATGTTCAGAGAACCTTCATGGTGCTTAAAACAGGTAATTGCCTTTACCATTCCCCTCAACTCCTCTTCCCTGCCCCCCTTACAATTCTGAAGATTTAGACATGAAAAAAAGAAAGTCTAAACATGACATTAATTAACCCTCTTCTTCTTGTGTAAACCACTCCAATCATATGGAATGATTTACTCAAGCAAAGAAATGACTGTATAGCTTTGCATTTTTTTAAAGTATTTTATTTATTTATTTGAGAGAGAGAGCACGAGTGGTGAGGAGGGGCAGTGGGAGAGGGAGAAGCAGACTCCCTGCTGAGCAGGGAGTCTGACAGGATCCCAGGACCCTGGGATCATGACCTGAGCCGAAGGCAGACGCTTAACCGACTGAGCCATCCAGGCGCCCCAAGCCTTGCATTTTTTTTTTTAATATCAAAAGCTAAAGAATGCTTTTTTTTAAATTTATTTACAGGGGGAAAAAAAGGAAC